CCACAGAAGAAGTGAGAGGTGAGGAACGCCTGGGTGGCTCAGTGGTTGAACATCTGCCTTCAGCCCAGGGCGTGATCTTGGGGTCCTGGGATTGAGTTCCACATCAGGCTCCCCGCGAGGAGCTTGCTTCTCCTATGCCTCTACCTCTCTCTCTGTCTCTCATGAATAAATAAATCTTAAAAAAAAAAAAAAGTGATAGGTAAAAAGGTGACCACTGTTGTTTCAAGCCATGGCATTCCGAAGTGATTTCTTTCACACTGATCAGAGCTAAAATAGAAACCCAGAATACAAACTGAATCATGAGGAAACCCTAATTCACTTGGAAAATCCAAGTTTTTGAACCTGGTATCAAATATAGCCACTACCTGCCTTTCTTATTGTGTATTTAGTACTCCAGCCTCTTCAGTTTATATGCATGTGCCCGAAGTTTTCTAGAACTTTCTCCCTAACACACACACTATATACATATACACACTTTCCCATTACCTAAAAAGCCTTTCCTTTCCTCTTTGAAATCTTCCTATATATTACTCTTCATTCATGATCCACTTTCCTCCAAAAAGTCACCCTAGGATTCTGCACTCTTAAAAGTTATCAGTGACATCTTAGCTGCCAAACTCAATCATTTTATTTATTTTGAGAGAGAGAATGTGTGTGCTCTCAAGAGCATGAAGGAAGGGCAGAGGGAGAGCAAGACAATCTTAAGCAGGCTCCATGCCCAGCACAGAGCCCAATGTGGGGTGCAATCTCATAACTTGAACCAAAATCAAGAGCTGCACAACTTAACTGACTGAGCCACCCAGGTGCCCCCAACCCAATGATTTTAATCAATCTGTGACTACAGGGCATTAGGTTAATCCCTGGATCATCAAAAACAGATCAGCTCACTTTCCTTGGAAAACTATGTCGCCTCATATTTTTAACAACAGAGTCAGGATTCCTGAATCTCCCAGCTTGGTAACAAAGTCTTATCTCAAAAGAAATAGGCCTCTTACCAGAGTTTTACTATAACTTTCTGAAGTTGCACAGCACCACTAGCCAAATGTGGCTTTTGAGGACTTGAAATATGGCTGGTCTGAACTGAGATTTAAGTATAAAACATACACCAGATGAAAGAAATGTAAAATCTCATTAATAATGTTTATATTAATTAAATGTTAAAATAATAATTAGGATGTCCTAGGCTAAATAGATTATTAAAATTAATTTCAACTATAATCTTGGACTTCCCAGCCTCTGCCTCAGGCTGCTATAACAACCAATTCCTTTTTACTTTTTTAATGAGGCTACAAGAAAAATTGGAATTATATATGCTGCTCACATGATATTTCAATTGGATCGCACTTCTGTGCTCTACTAAATTGAAGGCGCCCAAGGAAACACCATGTATATTTGCCTAAAAAGTTTGTGACAAAAAAAATACTCTTAAAGGCATAGGTGAAATATTAGATAATACAATTAAAAGAATGAAAAATAACAGAATTAGTATGTATGCTTGGAAATACTACTACCAAGAGTAATTGTCAATCATACAATATCCTTGCCTCCTTTTTCAGGGCACTAAAATATTTATTCAAGATGACATTCATCTAAGGAAGCTTTGAGATTTCAGATTTTATTTAACTTTAATATACATAGAAATTTTACTCACTGAAAATTGCCTATGTATCTCTCCATACTGTATTCTCTTTAGGACTTAGATATTGGAAACAGCAGATTATTACCTTCTCTATAGAAGACAGTGCATTTAAAGTGCTTCTGAGGGTGCCTGGGTGGCTCAGTCAGTTAAGTGTCTGCCATCAGCTCAGGTCATGATCCCAAGATCCTGGGATCAAGCCCTGCATCGGACTCCCTGCTCAGCAAGGAGTCTGCTTCTCCCTCTCCCTCTGTTCCTCCCCACTGCTTGTGCTCTTTCTCTCAAATTAATAAATAAGTAATCTTAAAAAAAATAAAATAACGTGCTTTTCAAAGTGCAGAAGACTTGTCCCAGGAAATGGTTGAAAGCCTAAGAGATGAAAAGTGGGTCTTTGGGAGTGAGAGAATGACGTGGCATGCTGCTAGGTGGAGCAGATAATCCACTGTCCTGTTTAGATACCACTGGGTCCCTTTCCACTGTCCTGTGTGCCCATCTTTCAGCTTATATGTGCTTTGCTTCTAAGTGATGGCACTTGCAAATTTCTTCAGAGGAACACCCCTTAACTACTGAAGCTGCTTTGCCCGAAGATGCAAAGAACCAAAAAGCTCCCATGTTCACAGCCAATGGTTGATGCTGGGATGGCAAGCCCAAGCTCCTTGGGCTGGGGCAGAAGGAAGAGGTTCTCAGGGGCAATTATGCTCCAGAGCACTCCTCCAAGATCAGGGCTGAGGAAAGGACTTTGCTCGAGTTATCCCCCTCCTTGGTTCTTCCCTCTCCTTCTTGTTTCTCCCGGGAGCACTGCCTTAATAAGACACTTGTGCAAAAATCCCTCATCTCAAGTTTGCTTCTGGGAGCTCAGCTCAAGACTCTTGTCATGCATGAATGGGCTCTAAGAAAACATGAAAACAGATTTTTGTTGTACCAGGAATAAGAGCTTCTATGTATAATACTTAAGGGTTGAAAATAACCATACTACCCACAATTTAGTAAGAATCATCTTTGCTCCTAAAGAGGACTGTAGCAATGCTAGAATGCAAGTCTTAGGTCTAAAAAAAGATGCTAACGCTGGCCAATATATATATGGCCAGTATCAGCATATATCTATATGCACATAGATATGTATATGCATATATATGTATACACACACACACACACACACACATATATATATATATGGCTGTCACTATATATCTATACCTACAGCTCTAGGTGTGAGAGAAGTTAGAAGAGCATGTAAGTGTCCAAAGTAGAGGTAAAAAGAAAGAGAAGTCAACATTAAAGTTAGTGAGCTTCATATCTGGTGTTGTAAATTCTGTATATAATCAATATTTAATAAAAATGATTAAAAATCTTTCAGAAAGCAAGCAGCTCCAAATTTAGGTAAATCTTCCAAACTGCAATACTGCAGGAGAGAAGGTAATCAAAAGGCTGTTTTCTTTCTGTCCATGAAACTTGAAGACCACCTTTGGTTTGACCAGACATAAATTCCTCTTTATCAAGAGTTATCCTGAAGCTAGAAATATAATGGCAAGGATAATTAATCCAAGAATAGTCATTTGGTCTCTATATAAATATTTTCTATTTTAGGAGTTTATGCCTAACACTGATAAAAAGCCAAGTTGAATGCGACATAAGTAAGCAAGAATATATACACCTTGTGCCATTACAGGCATTAAAACATATCCTGAATGCCTACTGTGCATGCAACAGGCCGACAACATTTAGAACCCATGCGCAGTCAAAGATACTCATGATGGGAATCATGGAGAAATAAAGCAGGTATTCAAGACAAAACCAGAAGAATGCCAGCTCCCAGGTTTAGAGGTTTCCAATTTTAAACATGGGAAGACATTATACAAGACTAAGATTTCAATTCAATGTAAAAAAACCCCAAAACAAAAAGCCTCAGAGTACAGGATTCCCAACAACTGAATGTTGCAAGAGCTCAACTATTTTTTAATAGAGAATGAAGGGAAATAAGAGAAGAAATTCTCTCTTTGGGAGGAGGGTAAGACTGAGGTAGGGATGATCAAAACCTGGTGACATGTGGGGCCCTGATTCAATCAGATCCTATGTGAGGTGGAAATGGAAAAAGAGCCCACAGACCACATTAGCGGTCTTAAAACCAGAGTCCATTCAAAGCTTTTATAAAACCAAGTACATGGCATTTATACCACTTCATAGAAACTTCTTCTTGGAACTTAAAATATTTAACAAACAACTTCTAAGCTATTTTTTAAAACTTTTGAATCAAGTGTTTATTTTCACTAAGCACATAATTCTTCATGTATAATAAGCTGATGAAAATTATTTTTAAGAATAACAACTATTATGCAGAGACAGTGAGCAGTCCAGAAAAATGTAATAAAGGCTAAAAAGCAGATGTCATGTCTACACTGATTTAAAGTCCCTGGAGAATTATTTTGCCAGCCCCTACCCCAACACTGGTTTGCCTGCTAAAACATGGTTTATGAGTCACCCATGGGAAGCAGTACAATACAGTGCCCTTGACTAAAAATAGGTAGGGACATTCAATAATAAATCTACTTTCCTGATATTCTTGTGTCACCATGAAATACTGATCACTTAGAGAAGCGTGATTCTTCTCTCCCCACACAGAAAGGCTAGAAGAAAATCAGCCACAGACTCCATTAGAAGATAACACGGTATGTAACAGGACTTGCAACATGATGGGAAAAAATAACAATGATTTTAAATGCCTAGAGCCTGGAGTTCACCTATCAGGATAAACAGTAAAGTTGGTTATCTTTTTTATAACTATAAAGTGACTTCTCATCTGTTGAAGAAATAATACATAGTCCAAGTGTTTCCCTTATAATGGCAATCAGAAAATAGGAATTTGATTGAGAGGTCAGAAGAGAACACTCTGTCATAGTCACCATGATCCTAGCTCTAGAATAAAGTATTGGCAAGTTATAGTTTATAAATAAAGAATAGGCCATATAAAGATATGTCTGGCTCCCGTTTCAGAATATCTTTGAAAATTTGTAAAATGGAACTCTAAAAGGCACTGGGAGAATTTATTTCTGTCATCTCTACAGGTAGTTTCCCACAAAATGGACAGTGGGTTCTAGCTGACAATGAACTCTGCTTTGCTCACTAAATGGAGGCAATCCTACCAGACAGCAAGTAGAAAATCTAGTAAAGGGTAAAGTGGAATGAATGAACTAGAACCTGGAAAATACCAGAGGATTAACACTCCACTGCATGAAGTATCTATGAATCCATTTTGAGAGGCACCTCAGATAGGACATCAGTAGAAATCAAGGGGGATTCACTTTACACATGGAAAGTTCCAGAACCCCACAATTAGAAACTCTACCACAGTGTGCAGAATACTCACCAGGTAGCTCTGGATGGACTGCGAGTGATGTCCACTTAGTTAAACTCACAGCACTGTCCTGTGAAGCAAGCAGACACAGGCCAGAGAAAAATCAATGTGAAAGACCTTTATGACTCTCATGTAAAAAAAAAAAAAAAAAAAACAAAAAAAACAGCTTTTTTGCACATCAAAATCAGAATCCATAACATTTAAGAAAAAAACACATCAGAAAGGCGCATTAATATTTTAGTAACACTAGCTTCCAAATGAACAAAGGCACAAAGTCATCAAATCAGAAAGATCACTGCTATGCCAGCCTACAGGGCTTATACACCCTTTTTACTAAGCTGCTGATCTACTATCAAGATAATTAAGGAGCAATTGAACACAGCCATCTAAGACCTTTTAGAATATAATGATCTGTTTCTGACAGACAGTAAAATGTCCTTAGATGCACTGTAATTCTAAGAAAAAAATCTGTTCAACGAAGAGCAGTGTAAACACTAAAGATTTACAATGGATTTCCATCTCTCCACCAAAAAAATGCATGTTTTAGTGCATGTTTTTTGTCTTTGTTACTTAATAAGTTATTTATGTAGATTCAGGATTTGACATTGGGTTTCTGGTTTGGTGGAAATTTAAATTTTGAGATCTTTCCAAGATGGGGTTGGCAGGGAATGGGGGTGGGGGGAGGGAGTTCCAGGTGGTATCAGGAGGACACAAAAGTTAAGAGGAAGTCCATCTGCATTTGAGAAGAATAGAGGCAGAAAATTTGGCAGTTGAGACATGGGAAAATGAGGTCTGTACAATTTAAACTGGGATACTGTGAACATCATCAATGATGTATAGAGATTTCTACAGTAGGTTCTGAGGTAGGATGGTACATCCACAGTGCAAAACTATGCCATTAAAAGAAGCAAATGAACTTGGATGTATATGGACAGATGTAGAAAAAAAATCAGGTCATAGTATTAATTTTTAAAAACTCTAGTAGAGGGGGATCCCTGGGTGGCGCAGCGGTTTGGCGCTTGCCTTTGGCCCAGGGCGCGATCCTGGAGACCCGGGATCAAGTCCCACGTCGGGCTCCCGGCATGGAGCCTGCTTCTCCCTCTGCCTGTGTCTCTGCCTCTCTCTCTCTCTCTATCATGAATAAATAAATAAAATTAAAAAAAAAACTCTAGTAGAGTAATAAGTGTACTATGACCCCACTGTGTTAAAATAAACCTCACTAGTCTATGTATAAACATTGTTAGATGCAGAGAATATACCTGGAGGTATAACAAACAAGTGTGGCTGCCTCTGGAGAGTTGGTACTGAAGAGAAGTGAAAAAGAAAGAAAGGAGGCATCTGGGTGGCTCAGCTGGTTAAGCCTCAGACTCTTGGTTCCAGCTCAGGTCAGGATCTCAGGGTCCTCTGAGCCCCCATATCAGCTATTCTCAATGCAAAGTCTGCTGTCCTTCTCTCTCCCCCTCTGCTCCTCCTCTCTCCCCTACCCTTGCACACCTGTGCACTCTCTCTCAAATAAAATCTTTAAAAAGACAAAAAAAAGGACCTTTGCATTTTATTTTTTAAGATTTTATTTATTTATTTGAGAGAAGGAGTGAGCAAGAGACAGAGAGCACCAGCAGGGGGAGGGGCAGAGGGAGAGGGAGAAGTAGTGCTCCCCTGAGTGCTCCACTGAGAGGGGAGCACAACCGTGGGGTTTAATCTCAGGACCACGAGCCAAAGGCAGATACTTAACCAACTGAGCCATCCAGGTGCCCCAGACCTTTGAATTTTAATCTAATATTTCACCATTATATAATTTTTTACCATGAAGTCTATTATTTTTATAATTGAAACTGAAAAAGAACCGAATTCATCCCTCTCTATAGAAACATTCCATTTAAATATACAGAATTAGAGAATATCCAGTATCATGTGCACATACTTACTGATTTAGTGAATATTTACTATGACCCAGGCTCTAAGCATGGATTGTATTATCATATTTAATCCACATAAAAACTCTAAAATGTATATACTGTGATTATTCCCATTTTACAGAAAACTGAGAAGTGACTCTTCAGAAATCACACAGAGCTGGCATTTACCCCAGGTACCTTGACCCATGTTTAGCATCCATGGTACTGATTCCTCCACAGCACTTACCCTATTTTCATATTACATTTATATTTGTAATGAACTATTGTAAGAAAGTATTGAAAACCATCATGGATTGCCCCAGTGCCTAGCACAGTGCCTAGTATCTAGTGTGCTCAGTAAATCCTGAACAGGTAAATAATTAGGTGTCCCATCTACAGCTGGGAAATTGAACTACATAACTATGCCTCCTGGGACTATCAAACAAGCTGAGTTCTTTTTGACTTTTTGACTAATAACTCTACTGTTTAATGTTCCTCATCCTGAGAAACCACTTGCCACGTTATAACAAAAGACTTGAAGACTAGAAATGTTTTCCTTTGCCTTCTCTAATTCTCTGGTCACTACCCAGCATAAAACTAATCCATCATTCTATAAACCTTTCTAATTCTGTGCATGGCTAGGATACTGCTACATTTGAGAAAGCCGATGATGACATGCTTAACTACAAAGAAGTAAAATGGTATAAACAGTTTGTCATAAACTGTTTAGCTATTGGCATATGGCAGATGAACTACTATAACTGACTTGGTGTTGCAGTCATACGAATTAAGGCATCAACTTACTGCCTTGTTCATCCTAATAATATTACTGCAGATGTTAAAGTATATAAATGGGTCCTTGATAAAGGAAAGACTGTGTGTGCAAGTGAGTGTGTATAAGTCTCCGGATGTCTGTGTTTATATGTCTTTGTATAAGCTTTGGTCTTTCAAAAGTGGAATCTTTTTCTGTAACATAGAAGAAACCTAATAAACAGACAAAATCCTCAAATCCTAGAATCCTATTGGTGCTAATAAAAGCTGGTTTTCATTCAACAAGGGTGCCAAAACTATTCAATGTGGAAAGAATCTACTCAGCAAATGTGCTGGGACGACTGGATATCCACTTGCAAAGGAATGAAGGTAGGCTCCTACCTCACACCATACACAAATATTAGCTCAAAATGGGTCACATGTAAATATAAGAACTAAAACTATAAAACTCTTAGGAGTAAATATAAGAGTAAATCTTTGTGATGGTTAGGCAATGGTTTCATAGATATGGCACCAAAAGCACAAACAATGAAATAAATGATTTGACTTCATCAAATTAAAAGTCTTTGTGCTTCAAAGGTCACAGTCAAAAAAGAGAAAGGACAACTTACACGATGGGAAAAGATTTTTTGCAAATCATTTATCTAATAAGGGACTTGTATCCAGAGTATGTTAAGAACCATTACATTAACAAAAAGACAACTCAGTTTTAAAGTGGGTAAGTGATCTAAATAAATATTTCTCAAAAAGATACACAAATACAAGAAGAGATGCTCAATCACCAGAGAAATGCAAGCTAAAATCACTATATTACTTCACACCCACTTGAATAATTATAATCAAAAGACAGATTATAACAAGCATTGGTGAGAATTCAGAGAAATCAGAATGCTCATACATTGCTTGTGGGAATAAAGTGGTGCAGCCACTTTTGAAAGCAATCTAGCAGTTCCTCAAATGGTTAAACATAAAATTACCATATGGCTCACTAACTCCACTCCTAGGCATGCACCCAAGAGTAATAAAAGCATATGTCCATATAAAAAAATTACATGCGCTTTTTCATAGCAGCATTATTTATAATAGCCAAAAAGTAGGAATAATCCTTATGTCCATCAAGTGATGGATGGATACACAAAATATCGGTGGAATACAAGGGCATTTTACTCAACAACAAAAGAAAGCAATATGAAGATGTCTGATATCATGGATATCACTTTAGAAAGCATCATACTGAATGAAAGAAGTCAGTCACAAAGACCACATGTTCTAGGATTCTCACAAAGACCACATGTTCTAGGATTCTATCTATATGAAATGTCCTATTCTAGGCAAATCCACAGAGATAGAGAGCAGATTAGCAGGTGTGTAGGCCTGGAGGGGCATTGAAGACAGGGAAGGACTGCTCGTGGGTGCAAGCGATGGAAGTGTTCTAAGATTAAACCACGGCAATGGCTGCACAACTCTGAATATACCAAAAACCACTGAATTGCACATTTTATGTGGGTGAACTTTATGGGACATAAATTGTATTTCATTAAAGTGGTTTATTAAAAGGCTGCCTCTCAGTGCATCTGCCCGTGAATATTAGTTGGCTTCTTTCAAAAATGGCAAAGCACTTATTCACACTCTTCAAAGAAACCCAGTAAGTGGTGAATATTTCCACTTCCAGAAGATTAGCTGTCGTAATTCCCCACAGGATTCCTTGTGATGGGAAATACACACAATCATTTCTACCCTCACTAAAGAGGAGCACATGCATGGGACTGCTTCTAAACCATAACAAAGCACCAACATCTTCCCACAAACCAACAAAGGACAGATGCCACAGTGTTGACGATATGGTTTTATTTCAAAGCAACAGGGGAACTGTCGCCAAGGCTGAAGTTTCTAGTTCTCAGTAGAGGAGGAAGAAATTTAGAAAACTTCGAGGTGACATTGCCAGACCAGTTTTCACACATCTATGTACTGAACACAAAAGGACTGGCATTTAATACTCTCCTGAAGACATTCAATATTGAGATTTTTGTTTTCAAATGAAGAATGACCAAGTAAGACTGAATCAACACAGCATCTTTTCACTCTGATCTGCTATTGAACATGAAAATGATTGTTTTGTAAGCAATGTTTGAGAAGAGTCATGTGAGTTTGTGCAGCAAAACAAACCATCTGAAACCTTCGTTGCTTAAATCAATAACTATTGTGGTTCACAGAGTGATCTCAAGCTTGCAAGAATGGCAAGAGATCAGGACCTAACATACAAGCACTTTCTAAGCCTCTGCAATGTCTGATGTGCTAATTTAGCTTTGGGCAAAGCTAGTCACGTAGTCAAGCTCACATTTAAAAGATGTAGAAAATAACACCACCTTTTGGTGGGACAGGGCACCCTAGCACTCTACAAGGG